CCCCCTTTATCATCCCCCCTCCGACCCCCCCTATGGATTTCCCACCCTCCCCATCTCAACCCAGTTCCATTCCCACCCTTATCCGCCATCTCGTCCTCCTCCACGTGCTCAGCCAACCCCTCCTTCCTGGAATACCAGTCACCCTCGTCCTCTCACGGCCGACTGCTCGGCACTGAGGCTCCTGGGGGTTGAATCATTATATATACCCGGAGATGCCAGACAAAAGAGGCTCCCTTAATGAAGTGATCATTTTTTTCGAAGGGGTTCTAGTTCGACGTGACCTTGCACCAGGTTGGGCTCATCTCGTGCGCCTCGATGGTAATAGACTTGAATGAAGTGGCGGTGGGTCAGTTGCTAGATGAGGTGATGGGGGAAGGAGGGGGGTTAAAAAAATTAATTATAAAAATTCTTAATAAATTTGACAATTAAAAAAATTTTTATTAACCTTTTTTTTATTCACTTTGCTCTCGCGCAATTCTATTATCCGTTCATTTCACACTGTGCCGGCGTCAACGTGGACGCTCGTAGCGTCCCTGCCCACTCTGGATGGTGTTGTTCCCTTTTTAACTGGATGCGCGACACTGTATTAATTTCGCGACTGTCGGCCCGTGTGATTTTAATGCTTCGTGCGAACGCGGCTTGACTAAATGAGTACTCTGGCCACGTGTCACGTCCCCGTACCAGGGACATACGTGAAAATCAATTTTTACAGTATAACGAAGCGCCGGCTTAATTTCAGGTTTTTCCCCATGTATTTTCTATACGGCAGGGGTAACGAGGGAAAGTTACGTGTTTACGGTTAAAAGACGGGAGACTGAACGAGGTGAAATTTTGAATATTTTTTTTCCCATTACTTTGCAATTTTTGACATTCTTTATAAAAAGTTTACGTAACATATTTTGTAATACCCAAAGGCACTTTACGCTGAAACGTACTTTTGATACAATAAAATTGGGTTTGAAGATATTGAAGAAAAGAAAAATTTTCTTCTTTCAAAGTAAAAGAGGCCACGAAGAAGTTTCGTCGGTTAAAATTCCTAGTGTAATTTCATTGACGTCCGCTGGCGGCAGCACCAGCCAGTAACAGAAGTTCCAATGGAAACCGGATTTCTTTAATGTAGTCTCGTTTATATGATCTGGAAGAATGGGAGAAACGTCGTTTGCCTGGATACGTCAGGATACTGGCGGAAGTGGGTTGACGCGGTGAGGCGCTCTTTAAAGGGAGGACAGAAAGCCCGGTTGTCTGGGGCTCACCCTTCAAAGTCTTGAGGGGTTGATTCTACCGTCGTTTCAACCGGCGACGATCATTAAAACTTTAAACGCCCTATTGAGGCACACTGGATCCAACAGTCGTGCTTAACTTCCATCCAACCGGCGTTTTATCTTTCTCTTCGTACCTAACCTTCGCCATGCTTCATTTTGCCTCTCTGTCTCAAGCTACCACTCCATCGTTCGCGGATACCTTCGGACAGCGCCTCTAGCGGAAAATTGTGGCAACGGACGTGCGAAAAATTAACTAAACACGAAAAATGCTTAAAAAAATTTATGGATTGATTTTTTTCATTTAAAAAAAAAAAAAACTAATGACCGTTCCTGCACAAAGGTACGTAGTCGCGCACGGTGGTTATTGAAATTCTAATCAGTAGCTAGTCGCCCGAAAGTCCGTCACGACATTAACGCCGATAAGAGATACCGCGATAAAACTTTTTTTCAAGTATCGCCAAAAGGTGGGGAACTCCGAGAAGTTCACGCGAACATACCGAATTCCGTCTCGTCCAGTAATTTCCCTAGATATCCCATGTCCCTCTTCTTTTTTTCTGACCACAGTTTTTTTTTCACCCCTTTTCGTTCCGTTTTTCGTGCTCTTCACTCTTCTTTTTGCTATTCCTTATGTCGCTTAATTTTATACGGACTAAAGTGGCACCGGTAGTACGGAATAGTTAGACTAATGGGGTCTCTATCCTCTGCACGCTTTTATGAGACTTCCTCTCATTGAAATTTTAAACGAACTCCCGTTTCGCATTACTCGTGAAATTAATGTACATACGTACATATATACATATATATATATGTATGCACATGTACTATACGTATTTCTCGGTAAAGCACAGAGTAGCAGGAAACCACGATTGAAGTTTAATAAAGGTACATGAACCTTTAAATCGACCCCGTAGTGGTGAAAGCTTGGAAAATAAATTTCACAAAGGACTAAAGGTAAATTATTGAAAATTCTCAAAAATAAATTTCTTACTAAAAAAGTTGGAGAGTGCATATATAAAAAAAAAGTTTTGAAAATCCCAAGAGCTAGCAGAAGCTTCATAAAATGTGCGAAACGGGCAATCTGAATTGATTACGGTCAGCCGTATTTTTCCAATCCCTACACACAAAAAAAAATAAAAAAATAGAATCAACCCTTCGTTTTTACCCTTTCATCTCTTCTCTAGCGGTTCGCGCCAGGCGCAAGCGGCACGTCGGGAAAACGTAATATAACTTTTCCCTGTAAAAGTTTTGTTTGAACGAAAGAAAAGTGACGACAGCATAATTCCCAAGCGCCACTCAAGCGCCGTCCTAGACAATTTACGATTCAACAATACCTACTCGCTTACCTTTTATGTCTTTCGCGAAATTCCGCATATAGAAGGAACCAGAGTGCCGTAGAAAGTTATTCAAAGTTTTTACGAAGCACTTATCGTTAAAAATGCTTGAAAAAGATTGGAAAACTGTAAAGTCGTTAATAATAAACATTACGACACGAAGATGCACCCCCCGTATATACAGCACGCGCGATTAATCCAGGTACGATAAAAAAAAATTAAAATTCAAAAATTCTTATCAAATTCCCGAAACACCTATAATCACGCGATAACGAATAAAAACGAGGATACCTTTCTTAGCGTCCAACCTATAATAGGAATATCTGAGGGTAGTATTATCCCGAGGGGTCGCCACATCAATTCCTCGGTCGGCCGTCGGCCACTGACCAAATAATTGCAAACGGGCGTCCGAAAGCGTCCCTGATATTTCGGGAGTATCCATGGAATTCCGTCTAGTCAATTCCAATAAATGGATATATCCCTAATGGTATATCTATACAGCCGTGAATCCCTCGCCGAGAAAATACGGGAGGGACAGAGTAAGGGAGGACTCGAGTGACTGCCTTCGGCAAACTCGAGCCCAGCTTGGTAAGCTCTCTCGGGGGAGAGGATGGTATAGGGGAACCAGGGTACGAATGAGAGCGAGTGAGAAATATAAGAGATAGAAAGAGAAGTAAGCCCTGTAGATGACTCCTGTAAACACAGACAGCGTCAAGAGTCAGCCTCTCTTCGGAGTGGCTAGAGCAACGGCCATATATAGGTATACAAGCACAAAGTGTCCTAATGGCGAGTTTTGAATATGCGAAAGTGTACGAGGCGCGGCTAAGAAAGTTGGTTAGGAGTTTCAAGCGTCCCGACGCTCCGTACAAAAGCATCCGGTCACGTAAAAACGCCAATGATAGTCACGTGAGCTTGCAGACAAAAAAAAAAGTGTCCAAAGTACTACGAGACTCGCGATTCAAAAAAAAAATATTCGAATCTTCCCGCCACCTTTTGTTGAACGTCTCATCCCGAGGCCCGATGCTTCCGGATCTCAGGCTGGTTTAACGACCCTTAATCCACCCCCTACCGGCAGGGGTTGGTCGTCAGGAGGCCAGCACGGTATTACTTCATTGGAATTACGCGCCGGTGCGCTTGGGGTTAGGATAAGTAGTGCCGTGGCGGTTGGGTATAGTGGATGATATAGTTGCGAGGTAGAAGAGGTTAGCGAAGGCGAAGGAAGAGACCAGGGGCTGCGGGATCCTCGGGAGCATACGAGCTATCAGATAAGGAATATTCGCGGAGCCCCGTCTAACGTTGGAATTACGAGGGAATTGGTATTGCGTGCGCCGAATTGAATACAACAACCCGCCGGCGAGAGTGTGCCCGGAGCGAGTGCCATCCCGGGGGCCGAAGAGAAGCCTCGTAAATACCGGCTGGCAGGACGTAAGGTCGCAGCCGGGTACGCACGTGGATGTCCCGTCCAGTGTTACATAACTTAGCCCGCATTAGCCCTGGACCGGACCCACGGCAGCTGACAGCAATAAGGTAACCCTGACCACTGAATTTGTATCCCGTTCAGTGGCAGCAGTTGAATTTGACAGCCGTTACGTAACTTGGGTAATACTTGGGTAAAATTTGCCGATGACTTTTTTTTCTCGATATTTCGAAAATTACGTAAGACCGGCAGGGAGAGCGTCTTGAAACGTTTCCACGTTTTTGACTGTTATTGCTGTGAGTTTGAATGGTTGCTGAAGGTTTTTTTTTTTTTTTTGGAAATGTTAATCTGACAAATTCTATAGGCCCCGTGGTACACTGGTATAAGGTGGCCTTGCGGAGGTAACGACCGAAATTAATTCTATTCCAAAAACCATTTCCTGGATTTCGAATTGAAATTCAAGCCCTTCACGCTTGGCGAACCACCCCTGGCTCGATTTCATTAAACGAATCCAACGTGACACCTACGTAACGCACGGCTTTGGTTCTATCGGGAATTTACTTGCTTGTATCGGGAAACTGTGCGTGGTTCTAGCCCTATGACGATTTCGGGGCTTGCCTTAAAGTAGTGACTTTCTTAGGGTCGCGTGTACGTAGGGTGATAAATGTGCAGGAGGACGAGGCGAAGTTTCGTAATCGTTGAATTAATTGGGGGAATTTTCAGGATCTATTGGCTAGACGCTGGAGTTCCTATAGCAGGTACCGCGTAATGGCTGTGACGTACTTTCTTACAATTATAATACAATTAGCGTCTGTTATGAGGATAAATGGTTCGTTAACCTAATATTCATTACCTTCTGGTTCCAGCGACCTCCACGACTTTGCATCGACTCCGACTCCACCAAAACGGCGTCAACGTCCAGTAGGAACTACTCGCGCTTCTCGCCCAGCCCTCCTCCGGAAACAGAAGTACCTGCAAACAGGAAACGGCAGTCCTGGGTTATCAAAGAAGCTGGATGACCGACAGATAAAAGAAAAAAATTCATGTTTGTTGTCTGAGTTTACCCAACCAAAAATTGAATCGAAGTATCATAGGTATGGTCGAAACCGTCGCGAGGAGGAATAATGTAGGTGGGAGACAGGAAAGAGTGAATTTAAAAAAGAAACACCCTATTGATCCCCAAGAGCACGAGGGAGGAAAAGAAAGTGTGTAATTGTAGGGGAAATATTTTCCATCCTAAATCGGATGGGGTTCATTCTCCGGGGTTATCGTACGCAGTCACGATCTTGAAATAAAGTAAGGCTAAGGGCTCTATAAAGGAGCTTCCGGAAGGGTCCTCGACTTCCGGTAACTCCTCCTCACTCATGCAACGAAATGACCTTCCGCAGCCACTGGCCTGATTTCATCATTCGAACACCCTCAGGATGCCTAGCTATAGGGGCAGCATCTCGGAGTACCTGGATCTTCGGGTAACCAAGGGATCAGGCAAAGAAACAGGAAGTCGCTGAAGTAGATGGGAATATTTCGAAGCAAGGAAGAAGCCTCGGATGCCTCGGAGAGATCTTCCTTCAAGTTTTCATCTCTTCAACGGGTTCGTCCGAGACCTGCGGTGCTATGACGTTAAAAACATACAGGTATGTACACAATATTAATTTTTGGGCCACAACTTGACAAGGGGGAGGTCGCACCGACAGTAGGTATAGACCCAGGGTGCGCTAACGATTTTTCAAATTTTTTTTTTTTTTTTTAGTGGCACTACTACAGCTTGAAGGAGACATCAGACAGGGTAGCATTTGAAGTTCTGCTCACCTCATCCTGTATCCAGTCGCTCATCCGCCCCAGCCTTTATATTACAAAGCTGCTATGTGACAGAAATATTGAAACTCTCACGAGTCATATATATATATATACAGACATATACTTTTTTATATGAAAATATATAATATATATATAAGTTGGGCTTTGACTTCCTGCAGGCTCATCTACCCGGAACACGCCGCATCCTCTTTTCTCTTGGCATCGTCCCACAGTTACTACCCCAGATAGTAGTAGGTATAGTATGGGTACTGTACCCAACTTTTCATCCCTTATTTGAAAGTACTCCTATACACCCACTGTAGCTCGTCGCCAACGCCATAGGGGTCGCCGCTATTTTCAAAAAGTCTTCAGAATAAAATTTTCACGTTGCCCGTAGAAAAAATTGACTTTACCCCGTATCATACTATTCATTTAACTCGAATCGAGCTTTTTCGAAAAACTTTCGAAAAATCTACGAAACACAAAATACCTGAAAGTTCAACGCGATCGAAGCTCCTTTCCTCTTTATCCCCTTTTCTTCACTCAGCCAATCCCACGTGTTACCTGACTGAATGGCGCGACAAAATTTTCCCACCGCGTAAACAGGGATATCGGAATCCCGAGCTTTTTCATTCAGCTTTGCCATGTCGCTTGGGGCCGCCAGACAATCTGCTGAGCTTGCGCGCTTTTTATCAGATTTATTTTCCTGTCAGACTCGACGGGGATTGGTAGGTATCTATAGATACGTGCCCAAGGTATATGCTGTTACGTAACACCGATATAAAAAATTGCGACGAAAGGGAAAGAAATGTGGTAAAGCCTGACTAGCCCGTATTCGATAAACGGAAAGGAAAAAGAAAATACTTTCTCATCTACGTCATTGGTTTTCGACAAAAAATCACGCGTAAGCTTTTACTTTTACATTTTTCTCTTCATTATAATGCAAAAAAGTTACTGGCAGATAATCTCTTTTTTCCCCCCATATTTTACAATCGTTCTTCAAAGACCAACGAGTTAAATTTACCACGTGTTTTTTGACACTTTTCGGCAATGACGTCATATACGGTTACATTACAAATCACACTCGTACAACAGTTCTATGCCTTTTTTTTTTGAACAGGAAGTCATGAATTTTCAAAAAATATGGTGAAACGAAAAAAAATTGTCATTATTTCCAGCGGCTCAGAAATTTCTGGTAGCTCTCTGCGTAAACGTTATTTTAAAAAATCCTGTGTTTCGAGGGTTATAAAAGAAAAGTAAAAAAACCACCAGCACCACAACGAAGGGAATTTTCGCGTGGCAAAAAATTGTGTAATCCTCTTAGGGCGCACGGCGAAAGCTGAAAAATTCGAGAGGGATGAAAATACTTTCTGAAAAGCCAGATCGAGTCAACATGACGTAACGAGAGAAATATAAAAATGGGGAATCCATTCGTATATGCATATGTAGTAATATATATATATATAATTTGGACACGTGAATAGAAACTAAAGTGCGCCTCCTTTCACATGCGAAGCCCATAGCTCTAACTGAAAATAATTCGAGGAATACCTACTTGGTCCGACTCTCCTTCTACCTATTCAACTTCCCCCCTCCATGCCCCATAACCCTGGAACTCGCAAGCTCATCGCAATTACAGATATTCCAGGTTCAGATTTTACTTACGAAAAAGCTCGCGCACGTGCATTAGTGGGTCTTTGAAAATTTCATACGGTTGCACTGAGGGTTGGGCGATACTTAAATGTACGAGCAAATGTTTATACTTAAAGTAAATGCAGCATGGATCTGTCAAGGTATAGACACAAGTTATATATATATATATACATATATATGCACAGCCACAGATAATGAGACGAGAGAGAATATACGAGTAAATATATTCCGTAAAGGCGCGTTTACACGAAGCGCCCGAGGACAATGATATTTGCAAAGTTTCAAGAGAGCGTCAAGAACGATAAAGGCTGTCAGGAATACCTCGCATATTTCTACATAGAAACGTCGTCTTATTATAACATTCCGCCGTGACGATCGCTGCGATGAAGATTCGCCTTGAATATCAAATACACGCACGGAGCCCCACCGAGTCTTAATTTACATACCGAGAGCAGTACTTTGTAAAGTAGACAACTTTTTTTTGCTTTTATGAAATTTTTTTTTTTTTGGAAAATCACATTTTCGTTTGACAAATTTACGACGATGGACGATACTGTCCGGGTACAGCGCATGCATTTATATCAAAGCTTAAGTGTGGCTCATTGGTTAAGTGGATCTCACGCGTCGTTGGCCCATCCTCATATGTGTCATATGGGTATACGTAACTGTACCATATAGCCATATACTATATAAACTATGATACGAATGCACTGCGGGCGTTAGTCGCGGCCGCTCAATTATGTCCTCCGGAAATTATATTAACACTCATTAACATTCCGGAAATGATTTGCCCATGAGGGAGATCGGAGCGCCATGTCTAGGGGGGGGGCAAATATATTAAATCCCATTAGGAGTGGCTCGGTGTGTAAGAGACGGGGTGTGGCACTCGGAAACGTCAGATTATTTCGTTCCATTTTTTTTTTTATTATTATCCTCTTATCTACCACTCGGCTGTCTGTCCCCTTTGAATTTCCCGCGCAATTTTCCCACCAATACACCCTACAGGCGGCTACCTACCGTTGGCCGTGTGCATCTACGCGAAAAACGAATGGACGCGAAAGTCAGTGGAATTCCCAGAGCGACGAAGGCGGCCAGACACGATTAAACGTACTTTGCGAAAAGTCCATTACGATAATCTAGATCCAATTTTACGTAACACCACGTCTGGGATACTCGGGATCATCCTTACGCGAGAGTCCACGAGCATCGAGAAGTTCGACGCGCGATATATTCACTTCGCCGTGACAGGCGGAACTTGAAGATTTTCAAAATTGCATAGAAAAAGTAAAAATTGAAGAAAAAAAATATCACGAAAAAAATACAGCAAAAATTTTTTTTTCGAAAATCCTATCTTACCTGTGCTGAATATACCTATACATAGTATATAGATATACCTATACATAGAATATAATATACATATATACATATACCTATATATATATATACACGTTTTATAGGAAGCACATCCGGTCATGTGTGGAACGAATACGTGGGGAGAGTGAAGTGAATGATAGCCAGGATGCTATTCATGCTCTCGTCCATTGGCAGGTGTGGGGTATACCGGTTAATCCGATAATCTGCCGGTTCGGTCCATTGGCCCAGCATCCAGGATAGTATACACACATCCGGCGAATTTCATTGGAAACGACTTTGGGGAGTAGCATCCCTACACAAAACTCTATTAGACTGGATATCTGATATCTGCGCGCGCTATAATCACCTAATGCAATCATTTTATAATGGCTTTTTGATATATCGTTAAGAATACCGTGGAACGTATACGTATGTACTGGGTCGAGTATCGTCTAATATTCCTATTCTAATCCAAACTAATCCCCATAATCCAAGCAGTTCCCATACAGCACGATTCCGATCTGGTGTACAGCTAACCTAACCATACCTTATCCTATCAAATTTGGTCAGTCTATTGCCCACGTATTATGCCATACACAGACACGCTGTGAATATGCCGATTTCAAATCCTACCCCAGGATTAGACGAGGCCTTAATTCCTATATCTAGCATTACGCTGCCATAATAGCTACTAGATTTAGTATCCAGACAATACTTGGATACCGTCCTTTACTTTGATAAGACCTACGGGTTAATCTGAAGTTTCAGTACGGAACCTCCGTATCGGCAACACGGAGAATCCACGTAGAAGCTGTTCTACATTGTATATCACTGTATCTACTAGGTTAGACATTTGAGATGAAAAACCAGGATATACCCATAGACATGTAATTATAAAATATGCTCAAGGTAAATCTGACGTATTACGAGTAAAATTTTTTTTTTTTTCATGCCAATTCCCAATAAAATTACGAAAAATAATTATTATAGTCCGCGGCTACCCCAGATTTGAATCTTCCAATCAGCTCAACGAAGACAGTCAATATTTACCCGGTAATACAAGCGTTATCGTCTTTTACTTCGATACCAGGCAATTTTACAATTTCACTATAATTATCTTGTCAATTAATTTTTTTTTTTTTTTTGAATTATTTATTCACGGTTATACA